CACTTCACCACCTTGGCTTTGCCCCCAGGGGACATTAGGCAATGTCTGAAGATGTTTTTGATTGTCACAGCTGAGAAGGGAGAAGTGCTACTGGTATCTGGTGAGTAGAGGCCAGAAATGTTACTAAGTATCCTACGATGCACAGGACAGCCCCCATAACAAAGAGTTATTGGGCCCATATCGTCACTAGTGCCACTGTTAAGAATCCCTGGTGTTAGAATAAAAAGTTATAAAACTCATACTGCCCCCTAGTGAGTGATTTTCAAGAAGCCTGGACTCTAAGAATTTGAGTTTGAGTCAGCACTTGTGGACCAACCTAAAACAGCTTTAGAAGTCCCTCAGCCTAACCTCTTCATTCTACTGATGTGGAAACAGGAACCAAGAAAGAAAATAATTTTAAAGCAACCGGGGCCATTCCTGAACACCTATAAAGTGTCACACAGTGCAGTCGTGTTTTGTGAAGGTTGATAGTCACTCCAACCCTGTGAGACTATTATCCATATCTTACCCATGGTGCTAGGAAACCTCAGAGAAGGAAGTAACTTGCCCAAAGTCCCAGATCTCAAAGGAGGCCAACTGGGGCCAAATGGCAGCCTCTTCGGATCTTTCTGTCACGTGACTTGCTGGATCAATGCAGCGTTCATTCTATGGCCCGACCCTTCCTGTCCATCCGCTAACCCAAGGACACACCTCTTCCTAAGTAAGTCACCTAATTTTTTTAATCCTCACCTGACACCTGAGGACATGTTTTTCATTGATTTATTTTTTTTTTAGAGAGAGGAAAGGGGTAGAGAGAGAGAGAAACATCAATCAGCTGCCTCCCATACATGCCCCAATCTAGGATTGAACCCATCACCTAGGTATGTACCCTAACTGGGAACTGAACTCACAACCTTTTGGTGTACAGAACGACAATCCAACCAACTGCACCACCCTGCCAAGGCAATAAGTCAACTAAATGAAAGGTTCCTATTCTTTGGGACTTCACGGGCTGTTATAATTTAGATAATAGCTAAATAAATGTAGATAGATAGATGATGATGATGATGATGATGATAGATGAGATAGATAGATAGATAGATAGATAGATAGATAGATAGATAGATGATTGGTAGGTGATGAGAGATGATGATAGATAGATGATAGATGATAGATAGATAGATAGATAGATAGATAGATAGATAGATAGATAGATAGAT